TTGAGAGTCAGAATGGGACCGTCCATAGTAAGTCATGTTCCATGTGTGGTGAGGTTTTTGTGTAGTCTATGTATTGTACTTGTGTCTAGAACTTTCCCGGTACGTGATTCGAAGCGAAATTTTAGGTGATGCTCGATTTGAGAAATGATTTTAGGCTTTCTTTGATCTTTTTGAGCTTAAATGCTCATCACAAATAAAATCTATCCCTAGTTAACCCTTTGAGTCTATAGACTTTTATTTGGCATCCACATTACAAGCTTATACCCTTTTTTATTCTCAATTGACATTGTTTTGATCCTTTTACCTCTTAAAACACTTTAATTGTGAGATGAGCGCTAAAATAAGTAAGAAGAGACTAAGTGTGGGGTAGCTTTTGAGTGGAACCAATGAAATAAAGAAGGGTGCACTTATTTTGTAAAATAATACACCACTAGCATAAATTGAAAAAAAGATAGTTGGGAAAAAAGAGGGAATAATCTGGAAAAAAACAAAAAAGGAAAAATAGAGATGAATAAATTGTTGTCTTGTTCTTGATAATGGGTATGAATTAAAGTAGCGCTTAAAGAAGAAGGGAACAATTTTGGGGATAATATTGTTTGTGAAAGTGAAGTGGATTGAAGAATTTGTGCTTAAAGTTGATTATGTGATGTGTTAAAGTGCTTCGGAGGGTTAGTCACTATTCCTATATATGTCATACTCATCCCTTAGCCCACATTACAACCACAAAAAGATGCTAATTGATTTTAGATAGAGTAGGCCTATACTAGTAGAGATTTACATTATGGGCAAGCCTATGGTACCAATTGCATGCATGTGACTTTTTTGTGAGGGTGAGATATTTTCTTTGATATATATGAGTCCTTAAATTATATATGATCATGAGATTTGAATGTGTGGATTCAACTTACTCTCTGTTCTTGTTGAGAGGGCACATGGTTTCACGAGAGATATGTAACATTATTAGACTTCTCTCTATGATGTTGGGTGTTCAAGCCATGAGTGCATTGTGACATTGAGTTGGTTTTTGAGGCTAGGATTGTGATGAGTATGTTGTCTTTATTTGAATATTTTTGAAGTTGGCATAAGAAAAAGGGAAGTGTATGTGATTGCATATGCAAGGGGCTAATTGTTGGTATCAACCAAAGTCATGGGTGCTTAAGCTTAATTGAAATATGTGTCTTGATAGTTATAAGCTTAATTTTGTTCGATCGGTTGTGGGTTGATTCTACTTTGCTCGAGGACGAATAAAGGTTTAAGTGTGGGGTGGTGATGTTGGGCATATTTCTATATGTTTTGATATTACTTTACCAATATTTTAACCACTTTTTGTTGCTATTTAGTGTTAAAAATGCCCAACATGATTTAATTATTGGTTTTATGACTAATTGAGTTGTATGTGATGATTTAGGGTGTTTGGAAAGCAAAAATATGAAGAAACGATGCTTCAACTAGAGGAGAAGAGGGTGGATGCATCGCATCCAACCTTGGAAAGAAGGTTACTTGGTGCACTCTTAGCAGTGAAGTCGGCCATAGCATCCCCATAGCATCCGCACCTGCAAAGCTGAGATGGAGGAACAAAGGATGGATGCGAAACATCCACCCTAGCATGCGAAACAAAAGCAGAGGAGGAGGTGGATGCGCATCCACCCCAACATCAATCCCTGAAGCTGAGTCGGACTAGGAATAGGAGAACTTTGGCCCACGACTTTTGTATGCAATATATAAGCCCAAAACACTTTTTTAGGTCATCTAACATATTGGGAAACGAGAAAAAGCCACAACAAAGCTTGGGAACCAGGGAATTCATCTTGAGTTCTAAACTTTTTCCTTCTTTTATTGATTTTTATGTGTTCTTGGGAATTACTTGAAATTGTTACCATGAGCATGCGTGGCTAAGAACCCTATTGTTCTAGGGTCATGAGTGAAACATGTATATTGATGTTTGTTAATTTGACGAAGTTGATTCTATCATATTGGGCTGTTTATTTAATTTTGTTCTTAATTATTTTTGCTGAGTAGCTAATAGTGAAATACTATCTACGAATCTAGAGTTGAACTCGAAAGTGGGAATTCTAGATTGCATATAGAATTAAATAGAGCAAGTTCTTGAACTGGGCATCGGGGAATGGATTCGCAATTAGGATAGAAATATACCTAATTGTCTTGCATGGTTGAAATACAGAATGTATAAATACATTTTTGTTAATCTTAATTCCATAGATATATATATGCATTAAGTTAGCTTAAACAGGCGAGTAAGTATTCGACAGATTCTTATGAGTAATATCAACCCTGTCAATCAACAATCCAGATAAATAAATTATTCATTTTAAGCCAAGAATGCAACACGATTGTTAGATAACCCGTGACCCTGAAATATTCTCTCCTACTGATTGTTATTCGAAATCGCTATTTGTTTTGGTTGATTTTTAGTTCATTCATTGCTTGATAATTTTAGGTAGTAAACTAGTCGCTTCTATATTTTGTGGGAAATCTCTTGAATCGATAAGTTAATTGAGTTTGTATCAGTCAATAGTTAATCACAAGTCTTCATGGGAACGATACTCTACTCACTACTTTATTACTTGATGACCGCGTATACTTGCGTGAGTGTTTCTTGTCGCAACAGCCCAAGTGGATGGTGCTGTATCGACTGGTCTACCCTCCTTATAAACTTGCCACCACTGATACGCTGTTCCCGACAACTAAAATATAATAAAAGCAACTCCGCTCACCTTTACAATACCCATGGATCATCTCCAAATTCTTTATAGATTGCAAGATATAAGCTTCTAAAGTCGGGTCAGTGATAACAGAATTTCCTCTACGCGACCACGAAAAGGCTTCCGCGATCGCGATTCACATTGCCTAAACAGAAATTTGCTCTTCGCGAACGCGACCTAAAATCCGTGATTGTGATGCATACCCTTGTGGCAAAAAATCAGCAATTAAAAATGGCCTAGATAACCACTCTGAAACTCACTCGAGCCCCTCGGGACCCCGTCCAAATATACCAACAAGTTCTCTAAATAACGCGGACATGCTCGAGGCCTCAAATCACATCAAACAACATCAAAACTACGAATCGCACCTCAAATCGAACTTAATAAACTTATGAACTTTCAACTTCTACAACTCGCGCCGAATCATATGAGATCAACCCGGAATAACCTCAAATTTTGCATGCAAGCCCCAAGTGACATAATGGAGCTATTTTCACTCTCAGAATTACAATCCAAGTCCGATATTCACATAGTCAACTCCCGGTCAAACCTCTCAACCTTCCAAACCTTCAACTTTTCAATTTTCGCCAAAATGTATCAAATCAACCTACGGACTTTCAAATTTAAATCCGGGCATACGCCTAAGTCCAAAATTACCATACTAAGCTATTAGAATCATAAAAACACCATTCCAGAGTCATCTATACAAAAGTCAAACTCCGGTCAACTCTTACCTCTTAAGCTTCTAAGACAAGAATCATCCTTCCAAATCAATCCCGAATCATCCGCAAATCGAACTCGACCACACACGCAAGTCATAATACATAATACGAAATTATTCGAGACGTTAAGCCATCGAACGGGATGGTAGTTCTCAAAACGACCGATCGAGTCGTTACACCTTCTTTCTTTAGGTCTCTTTCTTTCTTATCTTTGTTTCTTTTTCTTTAACTTTTCATTTACCCACGTGGGTTTGTCCCATCAGTTTATACAAAATAGCTCATAGTTTAGTTAGATTTTTTATTTTTTTGTTAAAGAATATCTCATGGGAAAAGCTTTCCCAAGTTGGGTTGTCGAAGATGCCAGGGGTACATTTGAACATTGTTGTTCGTTGATGCAGTAACATAAAGTTCCTCGTTTCGGATTGAAAAAAAAAAAAAACATGAAACGTGCATTATGTATGGATCCAACTGACTTTCGTTTTATTCAAAAATTTACTTTCCCCATGAGGAAAATGAGAGGCGCTGTGTGGATTATTACTGAAGGCAATCGCTGAATAAGTTCATGGTGGCATTAGGTAAATGTCATACTTTATTCTATTTATTGGAGTATAATTATTACTCTAGTTGGTAACACTAATTGCTTTAACATATCAAGATAAATCTTAAATTCAAGACAATTTTAAAATATAAGGAGTCTATTAGGGTTACTTGGTGTAGTTACTCTACCCAAATCCTAATTTATGCCTATAAATAAGATTATATGTCTTTCAAAGACGATCTCAGTAATTCCATAAACTCTCGAAATATGCACAAAGAGATCAAATATGAGATCTCTGAAATTCCATGAAACTCTTAGAATATTCATTAAGAGATCAAAGACATGTCAAATATGTCTTGCTTAAAGTTCTACGTTCGAGAAGTATATCGCTAAAATCCTCGAATAATGTAGAATAAATCGGAGAAAATAATCAAGGGATAAACATAATTGTAACCTGCAATATTTATTAATAATTTTTTTTTTATAGTTTTCTACATAAGTTTGTTGCAAGCACTAATGACGCCATGACATTTGACAAACATGATTCTGTCACGGAATTTGTCTTTATTGCAGTATTTAAAATAGCTAAAGACACGTGGGCTGCTTTTTCGATCTAAATTTGGCAAGAGCTAGCGTCATTCGTAAACACTGTAATGAAATGTGAAAACATAACTTTTCTTAATGTGTCAACGTACATAACCAGTAATTTGGCCTAGTTATTAAAAATAGAAAAAACGAACACAAAAACTATTGATTTCCTTGAATTTTCAAAAAACATACAATTCAAGTCCGTTGAACACATGCGAAGCTTTAATTTACTACATATTGTTCAACCAGCATTGCTTGGTAACGCAACTAACATAGTTTTAATGTACATATGAGGAAAAAAATGTTAAAGAGTGGCTGAATTTCCAGCCCAACTCGATAATACAAGATTTACAAATCAACAAAAGAATTTTTCCACAAAATTAAAAAATGAAAACAAGTGGAAGAAAAAGAATACACAAAAAAAATACACTAGCTGCTCTTTTGGCCATGTTTCCTAGCAAGCAATTTATCTGTAGTTGGTCCTTCATTTATAGTAACTCTTTTTGCACTCAACTTTCTCACATATTCCTTCTTCCTTTTTGGCCTTCTTGTGCTTGATCTTATCATGGGAATTAAGTACCATCCAATTGAGGTGCACAATATTGCAAAAGACCTTCCATAAATAGCTAGAAAAACCAATATCAATATTATAGCCAATGGCAAATAATAAGCTGGCTTCTTAAAATTTGCCAACTTCAAATTCCTATAAAATTTCTTCTTCAGTATCCTTCTCTTTGATTCAACTTTTCGTTCTTGAATTTCACTTGAGGCCTCGTGAGTAGTCTGCTTATCAACAAATTCCGACTTCTTCTTGATCATTTGCTTATCATCATCTGTGTCGTCACTTGATATTTGGTTTTTATCCTTCAACTTGACAACAATAGGTTTGACTGAATCCGAATTCGAGAAAACGAAACGAACGAATGATATATCATCAGATCCCATTTGCGTATAAATATTTTGTTTCTTGTCTTCAAGATTGGCTAAGAGTGCAGAAAATTTGTCTAGGCCACGGTCTGCATAAGGATTATATTTGCTGTCTTTGGTTCTTGATAATGAAGTTCTCTTTGATCTTTTAGGAGTTGAACAAGGGCTTACTGTTTCCATATCATCATCTTCTTCTTTATGATGAAAGTTTCCACAAATACAAGAATTGAACATTTAGGGGGGAAATCAGAAAAAATACTAAGAGATTACAGAGAATAGATGATGTTGTTTAATTTGGACAGACTTTAATGTTGAGTTGAGATTTTAAGGAAATAGAGAGGGTGGCGTAAGCTTATTTAAAGAGTTCGTTTGGAAGACTAGATCCAAGAGAAAATAGAATAGTCAAATCAAAAGAAGAGGGCTTGAACTTCTTTTTTTTTTCTTTCATATTTTAATGTGGAATATAAATATTTCGTAGAATCTTCTTTGAGGATATTTCCCTTTGACTTCAAATTTTAGGAAAAGAGGCAACTGTAGCACGTTGAGTTAATTTAGTAATATATTTCTGCCAGTTAGAACATATAGTAAATAACTTGGAGGAAGGGCTTGAAATTTGAATGGGTCAAAACTCTACCACTTTGAGATGTAATCTAATTAACAAAATGAATATTTTAATTAGTGATATGGCAAGATATATTGTGAATTGTGATATTGTGAATAGATAATTACGTACATAATTGAGACGTTTTTATTCGTGCATTCCTGCTTTTTCAGATTGAAATATCTGGGTCAATTTAATACGGCTATTAAGCGAAAAATCGGAGATGTGATGATCATTCATTGGTTATAAACTTAAACTTTTGGAGCTATATTATGCTTCATTTTAAAACGTAAAAATTATATAATAAATGACTCAACTTAATGAAAAAGAAATAGAATTCAATATTTTCTCTAGAATTTGAATCGTGACATTCTGTAATTTTCATTTTACTTCATTAACAATTAGACAACACCCTTGAGTACTTTAGAAGGGTTATTATAGTAAAAATAGCACGGTATAGCCAGTTTTCGGACTGGTCATTCAAAAATAGTCAGTGTTTACGAAGTCAATGGAAAATAGCCACTATTTTGCTGCAACAGAGACCGGTCCAGCATAATATACTTGAGTTCGGTGCACCTGTGTATGAACTCCATCATATTATGCTGGACCGGTATACTTTGCTGACTCCAGTATAATATATTGGAGACTGGAGCACCGGTGCTCCAAACTCCAGTATATTATACTGGACAATTATACTTGCTGGAACTTCAGTATATTATGCTGGAACTCCAGTATAATATACTGACATATTTTCCGGGTTTTGAACAGTGTTTTCGCTCAAATTTATCTTTACATGAAAATGGCTAAATTTCAATTACTTTGAAACTGGACTATTTTTAAACGACCAATTATAAATTTGGCTATTTTTGAATTTCTCCCGTTATTATATGCATGGAATTCAGTTGCTTATATCGATGTAAAACTCATGTAGATGGTGAGACATCTAATAAATAAAGGATTTAACTGAATAAAGAAAACTTCAGTCTAATATGCAAGTTCTAGTTATTTATCTCACACTCTAAAACTCTCGTTCACTCTCTTTTTTTAAACTTTATGATTTTAGGACCTAATTAATTATTGATAAATTCTAGTTTTCTTTTTAGGTTATCTAGCTAAATGCCTTTAAATAATCACTATATTTTCGAAAATTTTATGATTGGAGGGACATGAGAAATGCTCCTTAAGGATGGAATTGTGGTAGTCATGTTCATGACAACTTTTGTTGGAAACTAATTTCTAATTAGGGTTTCAGTAGGGAGCAAGTAAACGTAAACATTATTCTACCTTTGCACTAAAGACTAAAAACGACACTTCTGGAAGCTAGCCACTATATATTTAAACCAATTAAAAAAGATACAAAAAAAAATGATTGGAGAAAAAATAAATTTATTCTCATGTTACTTGATCTGTCACTATAGAAATTTAATTAAAAGAAGAATGAGATGTCATTTTCTAAAGGGGAAATATATAAAGGGTCTTTTTAAATTGTCAATTACAATTAAATGGACACCTCAAGTAACTTCATTACTAATTAGACACTTCTTATTAAGAAATTTTATTGTATACCTCACATAACCGACGCTTTTTTTTCTCTTACAAATTTGTAGACCCTAATTTTATATTTCTGAATCCATAAAAATTAGGATCTACAAAATTGCAAGACAAAAAAATACTTCATACAACTAATGTAAAATGTAAATAGCATGAGACATAAAATAAAATTTTCACTGCTTATCGATTGAAGTGCTACCTCGTAAAAGTGGATACACGTCCACAACAAAAATAGCATCTTCAGATCTAATCGCGCGCTAAACCAATAGTCAACCCGAAACAAAAACCCCCCTATGACTCATTAACAAATCTTCGATTTCTGGGGCAAGTAAAAAAGAAAAATCAAATATGTGTAAAGAAGACATTAGCTTTTGTATAGCTTCAGGAGAGACCAGTAGCTTCATTGAGTAGCTTCGGGACAAAAGCAGTCAAGCAATGAACCGAAGAAGATTCAACTTTGACCACATTATATACGGTCAAAATCGTATGCCTCCGATTTAAAGGTTTGAGGGCCCGTCCTGGGTCCAAGTCCTAGTAAGATCAAGTCCGAACTCGAAGGACCAGGCCCGAGTTTGAAGGCGAAGCGCGATGCATACCGAGGTCGAGTGTGTTCGACCCCAAAATAATACCATTATGGATTTGTACCAGAACGAGTTAGATTCCTGCAACGTCCCCAGAGTCATGGTGCAAATCTCAGAATATGATTGTACTATTCCGTACTAGGCGGTTAGACAACTGTACCAAGAATATTCCTTACTGTAAATAGAAATATTCCTTATTTAGGGCTCCCCTATTATATAAAGGGGACCCCAATCATTTGTAAGATCATCTTACCATCACGGAGAAAAGAATATATGCTTTGCCTTTTTGCCTACTGTTCATCAGTTTTGTCCTTTAACTCCATTGTTCTTGCTTTATTTTTATTACTTCATTGTTCTTACTGTCCTGAGCTACCTCGAGGTCATTGTTGCTAAGTAACATTGGTTTGATTCACTTCTATTTCATATTTCTTGACTATTAATTGGTATTGAATTAAATCACATATCTTTAAAACCACTAATCAAATTTAATTGTTACTCGTATTTTCGAGATAAACAGTTTAGCGCCCATCGTGAGGCTAAAGATAATAGTGATTATTTCTTTACTGATCCTCGTTACACATGTTATTTTTACATTTTTTCTTGTCAAGATTTGTTGATTTTCAGGCTGAAACATGTCTAGCTCACAAAACGCACCCATTCACGACGACGAAGGTCTCGGAGAAAACAACAACGCAGGAGTCGGTGTACCACCGATAAACCTAGGGGAAGTGCCAAATGTGGAACCTGTTGATGTTAGTTCGCACGTTGCTTTGAATACAGATCTAGGCGCGGACCCCGAAGTAGATATACACACGGAAGCCCGGCCCGGCGGCCAAAGAACACAAGGAATGGAAGAAGGAGGAGTCAGCCTCCAAGTGATATTTGAGATGCTGCAAGCTTAGCAAATCGCCATCGCTCAACTCCAGAGTCAGAATAGAACCCCAAACACAGCCGAACCAGTAAACAGTCGGCGCGCTAAACGGGCACTAGAGGATCGACCAAAATATTATTATATTTAACATAATAATATAATTGTTAAACGTTAGAACTGGGTCCCAGATTAGCGACCAAAGTTGATCTCTATCTGCTTCCCCTTTTGTAAGCGACCAACTTTGGTCGCTAACTTTGAATTATATTTATTTATATTTTATAATTTTTTTAAATAATAATATAATTATTAAAATTTTATAACTGAGTCCCATATTAGCGGCTAAAGTTGGTCTCTATCTGCTTCCCCTTTCATGAGCGACCAACTTTGGTCGCTAATTTTAAATTATATTTATTTATATTTTATAATTTTTTAAAATAATAATAATATAATTATTAAAATTTTATAAGTGGGTCCCCCTTTAGCGACCAAAGTTGGTCGCTAATTTCAGTATTTCTTTGACCAAGTAAGTCTGACCAGTTCGGTCAATATTTTGACGAAATTATCGACCAAAAAGCGACCAACCTTGGTCGCTAATGTATTTAGAATAATTATTTAATTATTTTCTCCAATTTAGCATCCAACTTTGGTCGCTTTTCTTGACAGACCAATTTTGGTCGCCAAATTTTGGTCATTTTTTTCGGATTTCTAGTAGTGTTTTCTCGATACCTACTCCGAGCACTTATTACATTTGGAACCTATTATTGCAACGTAATGCCCTTCGGGCTAAAAAAAATACAGGAGCTACATACCGATGCCTAGTTAACAAAATGTTCAAGGAACGAATAGGCAAAATAGGGGAAGTTTGTACTAACGATACGTTGGTTAAGTCCCTGTGCGCAGAGGACAATTCAGTTCATTTGCAGGAAATATTTGCCATCTTGAGGAAATACAACACGAGGCTTAGCCCGGAGAAATGTGCTTTCGGGGTTGGCTCGGGTAAGTCCCTCGGCTCCATGGCGTCAAATCGAGGTAACAAAATCGAAGCTATCGAGGGTATCACGATCGTGGATAGTGTGGAGGCCATGCGAAGGTTAACGGGGCAAATAGCCACCTCGGGTCGACTCACTTCGAGGTCGTGGGGTCGGAGTCACCAGTTCTTCTCTTTGCTCGAAAAGAAAAAGGACTTCACAATGTCAGCAAACCTTAGAACAATTAAAGCGACATCTGCTGAGCTCGCTTTTGCTTCACACCCCGAAGATAGGAGAAAAGCGAGAAGCAGCGCTTGTTAGGATGGCCGCACAAAAGCAAAAGATAGAAAGATAATGCAATAGAAGGACCAACCTTCGACATTTCGGAGTCGGGGACTTAGTTCTATGAAAGTCACCCTTGGTACTCGAGATCCAAATGAAGGAAAACAGGGCCCGAATCGGGGAGGACCTTACCAAATCCTCGGAGTTGTCGGTAAAGGATCCTACAAACTCAGCACCATGGAAGGTCAACAACTGCCAAACAATTGGAACATATCACTGCTCAAACGATACTACTGCTAAGGTACGATTTTATCCTTTTGTCCATTTGAGTTTAAAACTAATTCATTACAGATTTTGGATCGACGACATACGTTCTCAAAGGCATCGTTCTTTACACAAAGGTCTTAGGTTTTAAAGCATGCGTTGCACTCTTTTTCCCTTAGAACAGATTTTGTCCCAAATGGGTTTTACCAGCAAGGTTTTTAACGAGGCAACAACTACGTGCTACCTGAGGAAAACTCAACAATATCCAAGGCTTCTTTTCAATCAACCTCGAATACTGGGGGGCATCACCCTCGGATGGTTATATTTTGAGAAAAACGCTTCACGCCTAAGAGGGCCTCGATAGTAAAACTTTGTAATGGGATAAACAGTTAGATGAACCGTGTCTGTATAGAATAGTCGAGCCCCAACGACAAAGCATGTACGCATGTATCAATTACCTGAAGAAGTATTCTACTAATATCAAAAACACTATGTGTCTCAAAGAAGTCTACTATTATACGAGCTCTACACCTATAATCTTACGGGAAACGGCTCAAGATCCAAAGCATAAAAGCACCCCCAATACTCGGGGACTATCACCGACAGTCAGTACATCCGAGTTATCAAAAACTTGGACTTATAAGGACCTCAAAGAGGAATCCCCTCGAAACAAAGGCCTAAACCAACATACTCGGGGACTAACTTTCCGAACAAGTTCGGAAAGTTATCGGGAAACAAGTCCAAGTGACATACCCGAAGGCTATGGTCACACTAAAGAGTAGGGTCATATAAAGGCTACGACCAAAATAATGCGGCTCAGAGACGTCTGGCTTCCATTATAAATTAAAGGCCTTCAAATATTGAAAAATCGGTTAAATCAGACTATCCTCGGCAAAAGCAAAATATGAAGGGCTTCGATAAATTCAGCCCCCAAAAAATCTAAGGGCCTCAATAAATCCAGCCCTCAAATAATCTAAGGGCTTCGATAAGATTGGCCTTCGGAAATACCTCAAGAGGTATTCAAGTATGTTTACACAAGCAAATTACTAATAAGGTTTCAAGACGTCAAACCCTAAAAAAAACCCAACAGGTACAAAAAAACACATGCTATGGCATAACTAAATATTCACTAAGTCTTTTAGACGAAATGAGGGAAAAACTATACAGCCATTTTAGAGGCCGAAACGGCCCAACTTAAAGAGCCTAAGGGTCAATTTTAAAAGAGCCTAAGGGCCAACTAAAAAAGCCTAAGGGCCGATATATAAGAGCCCAAAGGCCAACTTCGAAAGGCTTAAGGACCAAAAACTTATAGTTCAAGACTCTGCTCTCATTTCGATCCGAACTCAAGGTTCACAATACCTCGAGCTTGCATCAGATCGATTTAAACTTAGCTCGAAGATTATTATATCTATCGATAAAGATCTAAGGGTTTATTATATCCCTAACCCAAACCAATCCTCGGACCAACCATTCAAACGAAGGTTTCCATGAATAAAGACAATATTAAATCCTACACAAACCAAAGATGAGATAAAAAGTTTCCCTTGTATTTCCAAAAGATGATTACAAGTGATATATACACAAGGAAGGCTTGCACAGAAACAAAATAGAGAAACCTAAAACTACTTTGGGGTCATATCTTCGGCAGCTACAGGAGCCGCGTCTTTGAGAGCCTCACCCTCGGGGACTTCATCTTCGTCTCCTCCGATCTCGGAGCCACTGGTTGAATCATCCTCATCAAAAAGTAGAGCGACAACCTCTTCTTCTAAAATCTTGGCCCTTTCAATATCGGCTGAGAGATTGAAGCCGCGAGCATGTACCTCCTCAAGGGTTACCCTCCGGGATTATAGCTTAACATTGTCGAGTGCACTTGATAGCTTGACTTCTGCTGTAGCAGAGATTTCCTTTGCCCGAGATTTGCTGCTTCAGCATTGACTCGATACGAAGACACAATGGCCTCAATGTCAAATTTGTCCAGCTCAGCAGCGGATCTAGCTTTAAGTCCCTCAATTTTGCGACCTCGAGCTAGGCTCTCCTCCTTTACACTTTGAAGCTGGCGTTCGAGTGAAGCCAGCTGCTCTCGAAGAGTTTCCTTTTCAGAGACAAGATTGTCCATGCCTTGCCTCCACCCCAACGTCTTGGCCTCCTTCATCTTAAGCTCCTCCCGGAGCTGCAACACCAATTCGCCCTTCTGACGAAACTATGAAATTAAAAGTATTAGTCGTCAAAACAAACAAGTACACAACAGACCCTCAAAGACTATGTTACCTCATCAATACACTCGGCCCGTTCTCGACAAGCTTTCGTCAATTCCACTCGCAGATCGCTGATCTCCCCTTCTTTCTTGACATAGAGGATTTTAAGGTTGTCCCTCTTTTTTAAGACTTTATTAAGCTCGGATTCATATCGGGAAAGCTCAGTACGAGATTTGGAAAATGCTCGTCGGTGAAGCAACACAGCCTTTTCACAAGGAAAGGAGGTCAGAACCAGAAAGATGGAGATTAAACTCAAAATAATGAAAGACAAAACTTACTTGTTTGAGGAGTTTCTCAGCTTCCTCAAGAATAAACGAGGAATCAGGATCGGGACTCTCTTCGATTCCTGTGAGACACTATTGAAAAATATTGTTCTCTTCGTGAGTCACTGCCACATCACAAGTCTCCATATCCTGGGCATCTCGGAGTTGCCCTTCAGAAAACACCAGGCCCTGCGGCGAGTTATCTATGTTGATTACCCCAAGTGAATTACTTGGGGAGTTATCCTGTCTTTGAACAGCCTCGAAGTTAGGCTTTTTGAGCTCACTCGCCAAACGTCCCCCGGGACGAGGAGCACCTTTTATGCCTGATGGCTCAGGGACTTTGCTCGAGCTCCCCTCTGAAATATCTTCTTTTCTATATTGAACCGCCTCCGTCTCCTTAGGATCATCAGTCTTCAAAGTGCTAGGGCTTCCTCTTTCCCAAGCTACTAGAAGGCAGTCATCATCCTCTTCCTCTTCCTCCTGATCTCGAAGGCGTTGAGTTGTTTTATGGAGATAAGGCCACGATGTTAGCCTTGGGCTTTCGAGCTTTGCTTTTCTTTCGCCTCGGGGTATTTGCAGACGACCCCCTCTTTCTTTTCTTTGGGAGGATTTGAGATCTCTTCTTCACCAGATGGGGGCGGCTGCATTTCAATAGCTTTCCTGGGTCCTACATAAAAGATGAAGTGAGTATTGCATTAAGAAAAACAAGTAAGCAAACAAGAAAGCTCACCGTGGTTTTTTGCCTTCCATCGGCCCTTGGTTAAATCACGCCAGCAACCCTCCATATATGAGGAAGTAGAGGCCAGTCGGCGAACCCAACCCTCGAGGTCCTGGACTGATCCAGGAAACCAAGCAACAGCTGCACCATCGGAAAGGGATTACATCGATAAAAAGACAAAACCAGGAAAGGAAAAAGGGAAGCAAGGTATGAAGTTATTTACGTTTCATATTCCATTCATCGGGGAACGACATCCTTGCAGCAAAATCAGGTCAGATGTCCTGACTCAGACAAAACGACTCATCCACCCTCGATCTTTGTCCTCATCGATGTTGAAGAAAAATGATTTCAAGGATCGACATTGTAGTTTTATCAAACCACCTCGATCGAAGACTGTATAGCCTGATTAGGTGGTCGAGTGTGAAAGGCATCCCCTTGACCTGACTCGAGAAAAATCTGATAAGATGAACAATCCGTCAAAACGAAGTGTAGATCTGGCCAAGCGTCACTTGATATCATTGACAGAAGTCGAGAATAACTGGGTCTATGAGACCCTGAGCTAGATTTGCTGGGCCTAGCGTGAACGGGTAGGTGTACACGCTTAAGTACCCCGCTTTATGGGTAGTGATATCCTCTACTAAGGAAGGAATCACTACATCTTTGTCACCCCAGTTGCAATCATCCTTTACTTGCATGAGGTCGTCCTTGGTTATCAAATAGACATATCGAGACATAGGCTCGCATTGGCCTGGCGTCGATACAAATTTCTCGATCTTGAAATCAGACGTTATTTCGCATGGTGGGGTAATGCACTCCTCAATACGAGGGGGCACTACTGGTTTTCCCTTGGTCGATCGAGAAGATGAAGAAGCATTTTCCTTTTGGGGAACCGATTTAGAGGTCTTGGCCATTATAATATGGAAACTCAAGAAAATAGAGAATGCTGATAGTGAAAAGAAGAAGGAATTCAGAGAAATTAAAAGAGCTAATAAGACTTTGGGAGTTATATGAGAATAAAGTTTGCAAAAGTGTGAAGTTTATCTATTTATAGAGGTCATTTAAGCGTGCTGAGGAAGCTGAAAAGCCAACCGTTAGTCGCCTCCAATTAATAACTTTGGGAACCACACGAAAAGCAACCTTTCAGTCACTTCAGCCGCTGATGTCACGAGATTGGCATTAGGATCGAGGCGTCGAAGATTAATTCATTTTTTATTGATCTATTTCGAATTCGAGAAAACTGTTCACTCGACTACTAAGCCCAAGGGCTACCCAAGTTTGAGAAAATTCTCACTCAGGGACTATAAAAAAGCCTAAGGGCTAACTCTATTTCGAGTTCGAGCAAGTGCTCACTTGGCTACTAAGCCCAAGGGGCAAGGGCTACCCGAGCTTGGGAAAATTCTCACTCGGTGATTATTTACGGAGCCTAAAGACAAACTTTATTTCAAAGTCGAGACCTTTCTCTCACTCAACTCGGACTTAGGAGTTCCGATGTCCCGAGTTCGCAACAAATCGATTTAAGCTTAGCTCGAGGATTAACAA